CCCCAAAACCCCAAAACCCCAAAACCCCAAAACCCCAAAACCCCAATTAATTTATAAATATTAGATAGTATAATTTAAAAATACAATGAATAAATTTCTCGAAGATGAATCATTAGTAATAAACAATGAATCTGACTCCCAGGAGGTTGACAAGGAAGAACTCGAAGAGAGAAGGCAAGAAATGCTAAAAGATAACAGACTTGAGAAATATAATGCGTATAAGAAGAAAACTAGCCCTGCAATAAAAGATGATGACCTATAAAAGAGCCTCATCTTTTTAGTTATTCTCGGCCGAAACTTAAATATTTTCTTGAAAATAAACAAGGGCGCAGTTCAGCCAAGAAAAACTCATTCAAGTTTTTTCAGGCAATGACGCTGGGAGATACATCTGATGTAGAGAGTATCCATTCCTTGATATCCGCTAAAGGATATAAATATAAGCCTAAAATTTTTGAAATACTTAAGAAGCATTCTATGCAATCGTGTAAAATCTGTCAAAGTAAACGAGGAGATCTCAAGCTGGTCCACCAGAACCTTGAGGAGAAATATACTACCTCTCTTGACTTCTACAACGTCAAAATTATTAATGATATTATGTACAATGAGAAGGTGAAAGTGGTTTGTATGTTCAAGGATTACCTGATCTATGATGATCTCACTGAATTCCTCAAGCGGAGTTACTCCTTCCCTGAGGCCATCATTAGATTATCCAAAATATATGAGTTCTATGATGCCTATTCCCAGGTGTTTCCTAATTACATTACTTTGTCTTCCCGCAAACATATGTATAAAAATATTGAGCGGAAACAGCGCCTTATAGAAGCTCAGAACAGCAGCAATTCGAGGTAAATTCACAAATTAGAATTTGAAAAGCCCTGCTGGAGACTAATTTCCAGCCTTATTTTTCAGGTTGCCTTCTAATTTACATCTAGTGATTCCAGCATGACAGAGGAGAATGAGAGTCCTGGCCAAAGAAAGCTAAAAGTGCCTACCAAAATATTCAACTCAACATTTATGGAATCCTTATTAAAAACAAAGAAGAAGCAATATGAAAATATGAACTTGGAAGGAATAGTTGACAGCTTTGTCAGGAACTCTGTGTCTCACAACGAAATCTCCTCCTTCCTGAATGATAGTAATTACTCGATATTCTCCAAAACTGCGCAGAGGAACACTCCTCAGAAGAGTGCCATTGACTTATTAGCGCAAGAGCACAGGAGTCTTCAGGCCAAAGTAAAGAAGAATCAGCAGAGAAATGATGAAAAGGAGGCCAAACCCAAACCTACAAAGGTGAAGAATCATAAAGTAACTGGGAAAGTTAGGACATTTGAGTCCAAAAAATCCCAAGAGAGCATTTCAGCCAAAAAGAAGTTGATTAATAATTTCATTGAGAAAAAGAAGAAGAGAGGTAAACTCAAAGTTGAAATAGATCTTCCTACTAATGAAGAAAATCACCTCAAATATTCACTCATTACTAACAGCTCGGATGGGCAGAAGATAATTTACCTGAAGAAGAAGGAAGGGTCTAAAGAGAGCAGCCTTGACCCTGAAGAAGCTATTAGCAAGTATGCTGAAGACGGAGACTTGCCTAAAGCTTCTAAAAAGATAGCCAAGAAGCCAATTAAGAACGTACAGGCCTTCCTTACATCAACTTTTCCTAAAGAGCAACCTCAGTGAGAGAGCCAGAACTCGAGCAAAAGTGGGTCAGGGAATGTTCTAAACAGATTTTCTTCAGTCAGCTCGAAAGGCAATGAGAATATTTTGGAGATAGAAACTCTGAAATCTGTAAGTAAAATATAAATAAGAAATATTCTGGTAATAAAAAGTAAGCAAATTTGCTCACAAATCGCATAATATTCGTCATCTGCCTCCCTGGTCTATTCCAATTGGTTCTGTTTCAACTGGAAACTGATAGATAATATAGAAAGTGAAAGAAACTCAGACAACACGGGAAAGTGTACAAGTCTATTGAAAATAACGAGACCTTCCGGCCTCACACTGTACAGGATTATGTAGTTAAGCCTCCAAGTTGTTCATCGAAGAAATCTGATAAAACGGGTAAACTGAGATATCCTGATGGGTCTAAAAGGTGCATCAAGTCATCTAAGTCAAGGATGACATCCGATCTTGTCAATCTCATAAACCAGACAAAGAAAGAGGTTGAAAATCTCCGAGCGTTCCGGAGAAATTCCAAAAATGGAGGCAAGACAGAGAATAAATAAGAATACCTATGCTAGCCCGGTAGGCGACAGAAACAAGGACGATGCATATGGGCTGAAGGATAAGGCCCTGAACTCTGATAAATAGCGATAATACTAAACCCAAAAGGAAATTGTTCCTCACCGGATCTAATAGTAATAGGAAAAATAAGGTCAAGAGTAAGCAGGCCAATTACCAACCAGTCTCTGGTAAGATAGACCTGGTCAGCAGGAATGACAGGAGTGTCACGCAAGTACGAGAAGAGAACAACAGTAATTATGAAAATAAACGTAATTTAGAAACCCTAGAAAGAGGTAAAACCAAGAGTAAAAACAGATTTTTGGTGAGTAAGAAGTACAACAACAGAATGGTGTCTACCAAGGCAAAGCATTCAAAGGATACAATAAAGTCCTACCTTGCGAATAGTATGAAGTTCGCTTCAGGCCCAAGTACCAGCATGTCAAAGTATGCTCATAATCATACTAATATTGGTGATAATTTTACCCCAACTTCAACAACCTCGAACAAGATCAATATAAAAGGGAGCTTGCTTTCTAAGAAGAAGGTGGCTTCGTACAAGAAAAGCAAGAAACAAGAGTCAACTAAAGAAGAAGCGAAGAACTACAAAAAGATAAAGTCCTTGCTTAAGAATTGAAAAATCCAAGGGAAGCCAGACAGTAGGAAGAGTAATTTATACCTCAGCGATTCTAAAAATTCAGGCCCAAAGAGCAGTATTAGAAATCCTGGCAGCACGAAATCGACAAAGACGAGACACAGGCTGACGCCTGTATCTGTCAACACGATCTCTACCACAAGTAGGTTCCAGAACCAGTTAGGACACAGTGATTTGTATAGAAAAATTGCTAAAACTCGTAAATAACTAATCAATTAAATATTATTTAGCGGGGTTTTGGGGTTTTGGGGTTTTGGGGTTTTGGGG